TGGCTCAGTAGGGATCACTCTTATTGGCCTGTTTTACCTTCGTTAGACTTCGAGCTTCCCGAGAGGCGAAAGGGTATACAATCACATATGTGTAACATAGATTCGTACGCACAATTCGAAAAATATTCTGACCTTGGCAAGTTAGAGCGAATAGTTGCCTATTGTTTTCGATTCATGGAAAATTCTCAGAAACAGAAAGGCGAACGAGTTACCGGCCCGCTCAAAAGAGATGAAATCACAAACGCTTGCCTAAAACTCGCCAAACTCTCTCAGCTAGCCTCTTTCAGCAAAGAAATTGAAACTCTTGAACATAAATCAGAAATAAAGCTAAAAGGTTCAATTGCTAAATTATCACCATTTTTAGATAGTAACAAAATTATGAGGGTAGGCGGTAGATTGGCACATTCTAATTTTTCATATCAGAAAAAACACCCCATTTTAATAGCGGCCAAGCATTCATTTACAAAGCTTTTATTCAAAAAAGAGCATATTCGACTATTACACGCAGGCCCACAACAACTGCTATTTTCCTTGCGCGAACAGTTCTGGCCGTTATCGGGGCGCAATTTAGCTAGAAAAACCGTTCACGAATGCATCCAATGTTTTAGAGCAAAGCCTCGCGATATTAACCTTATCATGGGTAACCTTCCAAAGAATCGGATAAATCCCGCTCCGCCCTTTTTCACAACCGGAGTTGATTACGCGGGGCCGTTCCTAGTGAAAGACAGGAGAGGTCGTGGCTGTAAAATAAATAAAGCTTATATTTCATTATTCGTTTGCTTCACAACCCGCGCTATTCATCTTGAATTGGTGTCAGATCTAACGAAAGATGCATTCATAGCAGCTTTGCGTCGCTTCGTTGCAAGGCGCGGAAGACCGAATAAAATATACTCGGACAACGGCACAAACTTTATAGGAGCTAATTCTGAACTAAAACAGTTAGGAGAATTTTTAAAAACTAATTCCGACGATCTAACTCAAGCAATAGAAAACGATGGCATCTCATGGTCGTTTATTCCTGCCCACTCTCCCCACTTCGGGGGACTGTGGGAAGCGGGCGTTAAGTCCACAAAATATCACTTAAGGCGAGTAGCAGGAAATGTATCCTTAACGTTTGAACACTTAAGCACTTTGCTCATACAAATCGAGGGAGTGCTCAATTCCCGTCCAATTTCTCCATTATCCAATGACCCTACCGATACTTCTCCATTGACCCCCTCACACTTTTTGATTGGTCGACCCATTACGTCACCAGCCAATCCCGACGTAACGAGCATCTCAACAAATAGATTGGATCACTACCAGCAGCTGCAAAAAATGCAGCAACATTTTTGGAAGAGGTGGTCTCTCGAATATATTTCGGAGTTGCAGCAGAAGCAAAAATGGTTAAAATCCGAAAAACCAAGTCTCAAAATCGGCGATTTAGCCATAGTTAAGGAGGACAACCAGCCGCCACTAAAGTGGAATTTGGGTCGAGTCACCAACCTGTTTCCAGGAAGCGACGGCGTGGCCCGGGTAGCAGAACTGAAGACATCAAATGGAACGATGAAGCGGTCATTCGCCAAGTTGTGTCCGCTACCTCTGCAATAGTGCAAAATCGACAAAAGTGAGTGCGTGAAAAATAGTGCCGTATTTCGCTGAAACGCAAAAACAATGACTATTCTATATATATTTTTTTGTTTTTTGTTTGTTACTGATATTTTCATCAAGTTTGCACAATATACTTTGTAATACAGTCCACATTTCAAATTATGTCACATTTTATCTTGATATTGAAAGGCATGGCCTTTCAAGGCCGGGGGAATGTATTTATTCCACTGTGCATTTTGTGTCACTGTGCATTTTATACTCCCACCACCTGTTGTGGGGAGAGTAAAAAGCCGGGAACGAAGCCGGCGTAGACAAGACGACAGCGTAACTTGTAGCTATGTAAAAAACCAATGTTTCTCTTTTTGATGATTATTACAAGTATTTTTCGAAATCAATAGTTTTATTTAACGTGAAAGGTGATAAAAGAAAACCAGCAACTATTTAAGAAACTACAACTGTTTTTATAAGATCTATATAATCTGTGTTACAAAAAGCACTTTGAGAAGCAGATGTAAAAGTTGGTCCTGCAGTTTGTGTCGCAGTATTCCCTGCTGTTGCCGCTGTCATTGTGGTTTGACCCAAATGACCTTGAGTTGATGCGACGTGACCGTTTGTCGAAATATGGTCACTTCCAGATGACGATACCGGGGGAAGATTATTAGAAGGAATATTCCTACCTTGCTCAGCATCTCTCGCACCCTGTATTACCACTGTTGGGGGTTGGTGATCCTCGCCATGCTCCGTAAACACCCCTCTGCAGAGTAAAAATAAATCCAGGATGAACAGGACACCAATCCATAATCTAAGATCCATGGATCTTAGATTATGGATTGGTGTCCTGTTCATCCTGGATTTATTTTTACTAGCCTCTAGTTGGGAGCCAAGTTGTTGCGAAACGATTTTCTCATGGTATTTTTCCGTAAATAAAATCCCAGTTCGAGGTGGACAAATATTTTAATGATGTCGAAAACGACGTTTAAGTACAGCTCTAGACAAAAAGTAATAAAAGTTAAATATGGCAAACATGTTTATGATAACTCACCTAGACAAAACAGGCACTGTAAAATAGGTATTTGAAACACTTATTAATTACTTAAAACCAAAAATTCTGCCAGCACTGAACTATACGCCTCGAAGGTTATACGTTTTTAATCCGAATTCAATACGGTGGAAACGACAAAAAAAACATATAAAAACAATAGCGGCAAAGCGCACAGATATTAAATTTAAAACAATAGTTTTTGTTATGCTACACACTTGACGTATTTTTAGTTAAAATTATCAAGTGGCATACTTTTAGAATCGGATCAATGTGATAATTATTGATTATGATAATAAAAAACGATACGTACTAAATAAATCATAATAACATTTTAATAACGAATTCAAACTTATCTAACATTTACAAATAAATTAATTTAACAATTGTTCAAAATTCGAACCATTCTGCTGTATGCACAATTGCTACGTCTAATGATGTTCTGGTTTAAGCTTAATAGCACATTGCGATTAATTTCTGCACACGCATTCTGGATTATTTGTAGAAGCTCTTCCCTTGTGGGCACAGGTGTGAAGGGCTTTATGTCTTTTCTGAGGAAGTTTTGAAGAAAATAAAACAATGCATGTCGAGTTATTTTTCAGTGAAATCCTGGGCGGAAAAAGTGAGACAACCCCTGTATGTACGCCAATGGACAATTTTGACAAAAGTTACTTGGGTCAAGTAACGAGTATTTACTTCATAAGTATTGCATTAAGTTGCTGAAAAACGCTTTAGCGATCTTAGAGTTAGAGTTATGACAAAAAAAAGATATTTAAAACTGAACTTTGCAGGACTGTATGTTTCTTTTACTCTCAATTATCTCGTAAACAAAGCCTTAAATCAAAATTTGACAAGAGTGGCTTTTTTTCTCAAAATTGAACAAGGAATTAGAAAAATAGGTCAATTTAAACCAATATCCAGTGGCGTAAAAAATGGGGTGGAAAAAGTGAAACAACCCCCCTGTATCTACGTCACTGGACAATTTTGACAAAAGTTACTTACGTCAGGCTTTGTTATCTATGCGTCAGGTAACGATCGTTACCTGACTACTCGAGTACCGATTTCATAAGTACTTGTACCAAATTTGGTCAAAAACGCTTTTATTTCCTGAGAGTTATGACAAAAAAAAGATTTTTAAAACTCAACTTTGAAGGGCTGTATCTCCCTTAGGAGGGGTTTTGGAGAAAAAAATTACCATGCATGTCGACTTATTTTTCGATGGACTATCGAATGGTGAATTATTGCTACTATAACCTGGACCACCCTGTATAGTGCAGAAATTTTAATTAAATTAACCTTTAATACATTACATTACATATGCAATAATAATGTATAATAATATAATATTATAAGGGCATGGTCTCAACATTTATTCACATACATAATTAATTCTTATTATTGTTTAAAGAAACTACTAAATATTAATTTAGTAAATAGAAAAAGTAAAAGTATTTTTCTAAAATGATTAATGTTATTGCTTAAGTATGACCATACCCATTGATCTAATTATTTTCTTACAAAGTATACTTTCTAATATTCTTTAATTATTTTTTATAGGTATTTAATTACACGGTGGCCGAACAAAAATAACGTACCAGATCTGGTTAGTTTAAAGAGTTCTGTCACAGGGAGTTGGAGGGGTCAACTTCGACCATTTTTAGCGTCACGAGATTTATGGACGGCCCCCACTTATTATTTAATACAAGTCAGACAAAAGGCCCATAAGGGTTGTCATTACAGTACCTTGGAATAACAAGGTTCTAAGTGCACCTGCCCTGCAAAGCGAAAATACCTCATTGCAATATTTAATATTTTAAATAAGTCATTTGCGTTTAACAGTGCAGCTGTACTTAAAGCCTAGTCATTCCAAGGTATTGTCATTAGGAACCCTCATTTAGTGTATATAATTTATATAACCTTATTATTTAATATATATAAGTACTTTTTAAGTCAAATTCTTGAGTAATTTGGTACTTAAATTAATTTAGGTAGGTAATTAACATTTCCCAAATTGTGTTCTAGAAAATTCTTTAAATTTTAAGTATAAAGCTATAATAATACCAAATAGAGATTATTGAATTATTAAATTCATGTATTAGGGGTAGGAACGGACCGGTACTTATTAGGTCAAATTCTTAAGTACCTAATTACTTAATTAATTTAAGTAATAAACATTTCCCAAATTGCGTTCTAGAAAATTCATTTAATTTTATCTATAAAGCTATAATAATACCAAATTAATATTAAAAACTAAATCAATATATATTCAAGTATTAGGGGTAGGAACGGACCGGTACATTACATTCCCATTTAAACAAGAGACCTAAATGAAAATTAACTATGTCAAACTCAAAGTAATATTTTTTTTTACCTTCGAAGTCACCGGTATCGGCAACCACGGTGGTTAGGGCCTTCAATTGTTCCAGGGAGTTGGGCATCTTGACCTTCTTGCACTGAGGTTCGGACATACTGACAATAAAAAAATAAATTTCGACAAAATACTGATTGTTGATGTCGATAATATCGACCTAATATACCACTAAATGATAAAGCGTTTTTACAACATACTCTTAAGGTTATCCATTTCACCTTCACGAAGCGAGTAACGAACAACCAATAAGGTTTGCCATATTTGGCGCGAAATTCGAAAGCTCAGATAACCATTTAACAACAATTTTGTTATATAATTATAATTTTAAACTCAGGATTTTAAGTGTTATAGGTGAGTAGTAGCATAAAGTCGCGGATATTGGGGGTCAGCTTTAAAACCCCATAAATAATGTTTAGTGCATTAAATATTCTAATATACTTATCTAATATTTTTTTTTTAATTAATTAAATCGTAAAATCATAAATCAACATTGCTTCCGAGACTGGTTCTTAAATTAATAAAAGGTTCTTAATATAATAAAAACAAGAAATATAATTGTATAGGTAAATATATTTACAAAATTATATAATTAAATAATTTTAATTATTAAAAGTTCTTATTCTTTAACTCCCTGTGTCAGAATGGTGGGGGTAACAGAACATAACATATTAAAACCTCCATGTAAAACGCAGACTCTACTTATATTGCACTTCAGTAGAAATTTGGGGAACTAAAAAATAAAAAATACTTAAATTATTATAATTTATAAAAAACATTTTATTTATAAGAAATACTAAAACCCAATTTATCTCATTTTCAGTTATCTATCCTTATAATAAACGGAAAATTGGTATACCATTATATATGAAGGGGTAAAAAGAAAAAGGGTACAAGTGCAAAAAAGAGAAAATGAGTTAAAAAAATTTTTACTTAATAGTCATAGTAAACTATAGGTAAGTAAGTTTTTATAATAAGAACTATTATTAATGCAAATTAATTAATTCATTAATTTGTAAAAGAGTCCCGCCGGGAACTCTCAGAAATGGTAGAACAAGAACTAAATGGGATAAAAAAAATCTATGTTTACTAGCAACAAATTAAAAATGACCAAAATTACACCAAAATATTTTTCCTTACATAGGTACTTAATTAACAATTTTTTAGGGACTACAATATTATTTTTTCATTACCAGTGTAGTGCCATTAGTTAAGGCGCCATACCACACGATTTAGGGGAATATTTTATTATAAAAAAATACACAATTTCAAGTAAATCTCGAGTTATTAACCATTTAAAAAACTAGGCAACGTTGTTTATTTCCTAAGCCGATGTATTTTCTGACAGTTAGTGAAAAAAAATCAACTTTACATCATACTATCAAAGTTTACTATTACTATTTACTATTAAAAAATTTTAACTTTTTATTTTTAAAACGTGTTTAGAAAGTTGTTGTCTACCCTAGCATAGTTATAAATAAATAATAGGTACCTATCAAAACATTGAAATAAAGAGAAAAATAAATAAATTTTTAAACCCTAGTCAGATTTTTTTGTAATTTTTATATACATTAACTTCACTTGCTCCACGTAAGTATGCATAAAAGCGAATGAAGTCGAATATATTCGACTTGTGTACACTATTTTTCATTATACGCGCAACGGATATATCCGTTGCGCGTGTAATGAAAAATAGTGTACACATCTCGTGGCAATCATCGGCAATTCATCATTTGCTTACATCGCCTATAGGTTAAGCTAAAATAAATTTCTTGGTTTGGCTTTATAAAAAGCAAAAAGTGGAATAATATGCTTATTATGTAAAATCAACTAAAAATCTCGTAAACACAATGGAAAAAATCAATGTCAAAACAATTGGTATACCACAGAAAATAAACAAAATGATTAATTATAAAAACCATCTACATATTAATATGTCTATGATAAAAACCTTTTTGCTATTGTGGTCGAAATACGACGTTGCCAATTTCTTATAAACATGCCATTATAAAATCTAAAATATCATCATTTTGTGTGTTTATTATTGATAAATGCTTTTTTCTATAAAATTTATTAAAAAGTATTTAGTATACTTTCTAAATAGGGACAAAAATATGGTATTTTTTTTAAACCGGCAATGCCGCCACGCATGCCCATCAATGCAATCACCCGTGTGATTCTCACTTTCCCTACTTTAACCCCACGAAAAGGAAACAGTTTCAGAAATATTTGTATATGCAGTTTTGTGTTGTCTGCTGAAGCAGATAGGTCGTAGACGGCCTTCCTTGAGCAGACAATATGGGACTCCCAGCACAAGAATAATCAAAAATACGCTGATCAGTGCCAAATACACAAAGTCTACAACAGATTGAGTAATTATAAAATAAATTCCACGATGGATGGGTGAAATATTGAAAGAAATATTAGTGCATACAGCCATCTCCCATATGGTGCATGGTTGGAATATAAAATGGAGCTTCCTTCAATGAAAAATGTAATATGTATGGAAAACTAACGGAAGATATTTATTGATGAATTAATTTTTGATGTGTTTAATAATTAAATGGTTGGATAAATGGAATATATATATATTCCCATGAGGTAAACTCAGACGCTCTTAATAGACCTATCCCATAAAACAGACTTTTGGATAGCGCGTGCCTGAAGAAGAGTGGTATCTCTTTCTCTTTTATATAATTAAAAAAAGACGACGTGCCTTTTCACGCACGCGCTATCCAAAAGTCCGTTTTATGGAATAGGTCTATTGAGACCCTTGGTCATATTAAAATTTAAAACATAATGAGCTGGCCAAATAGCCTTCAAGTAGGCTAAAGGCCATTACCTCTGAACACAGGACTCTTGTGTTCAGAGGTATATGTAAAAGTATATGTTTATTACGTCATCCGGTGATAGAATGAATTCATTCTGTTACAAATATGTTAAAAATATTAAAAAGTGATATTAGAACGGTAATATTCCGTTTATTTCGTATTACCCTAAACTTAAAAGTAACAATTAATAAGGACTTAAGTCCTTCAATTAAACTTTGTGATTGTTGTTAAAATAAATTAATGCAATAATAACTTTTTGTTTTTAATTAAATTATCTTTCAAAATATGTAAAAATATAGGGTGTGTTTAAAAATATTGTGGAAACTCGACGTTTAATTGTTTTTCTGTTTTTAAAATTTTAATCAGAAGTATAAATTTTAATTTAACCAATTTTGTAGCTTCAATAATAACGGAGTTAACAATGGTTAGCAGATAACTTCGGTCAATAATTAACATTGATACCTACTATAAACCTCTTCTATAGTGTATACATGTATGTAAATAGTCGAATTTTGAGTTTTTAACAATAATTTAAAAACTGAAATATTCGGTCAATAATTAACATTTATACCTACAAAAATCCTGCTCTACTCGTATGTAAATTTTCTAATTTTAAGTTTTTAACAATAATTAAATTTTAAATATTGATTATTTTAATTTCGTATATCTCTTAAAATATTAATTTTATAGATTCGACTTATATTACCTTTTTGGTGGGAAACTACATTTCCTACCAATTATAACTGTTTACAAGTTTTTGCTAAAGTTTTAAATTTTATTTTTTTGGCAGTAAATTACTGCTAATTTAATTTTTTTTGCTAAAAAGGGGCCAAAAGACCAAAACTAAACTAAAAGAAAAATAAATAAACGGTGAAGAAAAAAAAACGATGTAACATCTTAAATAAAAAATAAATAAATAAAGTCTTAAATCATTAAAGTAATAAAAGTAAAGTTTAATTTTTAAAAAATATATATCTAAATTAACACTGATAAATTGTTCAGTTACAAAAATTGTAATGACATAATACGAATAACAAAATACCCAACATTAGTACTAATTTTTTCATGGCTAAATTAAAATTGATAATTCAGAAAGATCACTAGTAAAAAGTATATATATATGTGGTTACCAGTTCCATATCAGATTCATCATCTCCAATAATGACAATGTTTTTATTTTTGCTATTCTTAACTGTTACACTATGCTGGCCAATACTTTCAATCTTAGATTCTTTAAATGTAACACTGGAAAATGGAATATTTATACTGCCTTTGACACAGGATCGGTGATAACTAAAATTAAAATGAAAAATTAAAAATATTTTACTTAATAAATAAATAATAAAGCCATACTAAGTGGAATTTCTTATATCTATAATGAGTATTTCTTCAAAATGATTTCTTATTAGGTCTACAACATCATTGGTAGAAATCCTAGGGCATTTTTCTTTTTGAAGATCTTGTAATGTGACACCGGAAATATCCTAAAATTATTAAAATTATAATGATTATGATAATGATTTTTATAAAAAAAATCACTGACAAATTCGTTTCTTTTAAAGAATTCTTCATTTTGATGTTCCCGCGTCGTAATACTTTTAGGGGTGTTATGGAATGTTTTCGATGATAATATAACGCATTTTTCTATATCGACTTCCGGTAAATCCGAAAATAACAAAATGCACTCATTAAATCCGGAAGTTAACAGTCGATCCCTTAACTGCGTTAAAACGGAAAGGCCTATGTGAAGCGGATATGACGAGTCTCCCAATAACAACTTGTCCCAGAGATGCAGGATTTTATATAAAGGAAAAACATCTGTAATGAGGAATTATAATGAATATTAGATATCTTAGAGTTAAGTGAGGTTCATCTGCCCAAACTTAAATCTAAGGTTGTTTTTCTGTATACTCACGTGAAAAAACTGTTAAAAACCAAGGAATTGCAAATAGCTCTGGATAAAAGTTGATTTCCTCTAAATGATTCGCCAGGTTGGGGTCGTGAAAAACAATTAACTGTGAAAACTTCGCCAGGTATTCCTGAATAACAGCTGAATTGTCTTTCAGGAAAAACTTGTGCAAATATTTTGGTACAAATGCGGACAGACACGCGAATGCTTTGGCTAGGATTTAAACATTAAAAATAAATTAAAATAAAATGATTATAAAGAATTTTTTGCATTATTTTACCTTCATCATTAAAGTTGAGATAGAGAAAAGGAGCAGTTAAGGAATCTAAGCCTTGCCAATAAACATACTGAGAATTTTTGTACACCCAAGCTTTTAAAATTCTCTTTAATTTTCTATGGCCTTCTGAGGAAGAGAGCAGCTCATTGTACTGGTGACATCTAGGTATATCCACCTCTATCTAAAATGGTGTCATTGAATTAATAACTTAATAAAAAAATATATTCACCCCAAAACAGCCTATGTGACAGTTATAGAATAAGCCCAGGTTTTTGAGAAGACACTTGTATTGTAAATTTGGAGCCAACTCAGAACAATCAAATTTTCGGAAAGCCAGTTTAATCTTGATGTGTCAGTAAGAACACAAAACATAAGAGTAAGGATAATTGAATAGGTCAATGCAGAAACTGAATATGTCCACTTTTTAGGGATATTGAGTTAAACATGGATTTACTATAAGTAAAGGGTGCCCGATCGAATGGCGTAGAAATTTCACATGTCACGGTAATCTAGAATATACAAAGGCGCTAATATAGTAGAGAAACTGAATATGTCCAGAACATGTCCACTCTCTGTTCAGTTTTTCTTATTTATCTCAAAACTAGATAGGTAGGACATATTCAGTTTCTGCATTGACGTATTCAATTATGACACTTGATAAAAGTATATTGTAAAACGAGTGTTATAATGACCCTTATTGTAATACTGAGTATCACAATAAGTCAGTGTAACACGAGTTTTTCATAGTATTTTGTCTATTTCGACAATAATTTATCAATAAATTTAAATAAATATTTAAGGTAGTATATACATTTCAAGAGTTTCCATTGAATGTCTTCAAAATTTAATTCATGATTTTGTGAGGCATCATTCACAAATAATTTCAGATTTTTTTGTGCCTGATGTGGGGCACATCTGAAATAAAAGAACAGTTCTTAAAATTATTATTATTAAATATTTGTTTTAGTAGGTTCCTACAGTAATTCTTAAAAAAAAAAATAGAATCCTCCTTTGACGTTGGGATAGTAAGTTCACATAATGCAATATGTACTTCCTGAATGCAGTCATTTAGTAGTATAATACTTACTCAAATATTATTTCTTACCTGTCTGTCTGTGGATGTGGGCGTGTCTTTATCAATTTTTAAATAGTCCCTCTTGTAATTGGCGTTTATTTTTAACAGGGCATACCATATTTCTCCTCTTAAATGTGGTGGGATATCTTTCTCAGCTTCCGCGATAATTTGATATTTACAGAAAGGGTAACCCTGATAATACAAAATTATTTACTTAAAAATATGTACATATTTTAACTAAATATGTACGCACATTTAATAATCGTCTAAACAAAATAATGCGATGAAATTGATACTCCGGATCTTTTTCTTTTATAACCAAAGGTAGACCTGTGGCATCATAGGCAGGTGGTTCAACGCTCGCGATTATTTCTGATTTTGTATGAATTAAAGGATAAAAAGATGTTATAGGGATATTACTAAATCTTTGATATAAACTTTCCAAAGGCATTTCAACCACTCTTGGGTCAAATAAAGTAGCTGGATTTCTTTCCTGTCCCAAAATATTCCCTTCAATTAGTACCAAACTAAAAAACACAATGTATAAAGCATTATTTAATATTTAAATAATTGCTCACTTAGGTAAGGATAGGATGGGTGGACTAGAACGGATTAGTCCTTGTTTTTTAAGCTCCTGTAAAACATCCCCACCAGCTAATTGCCACCAATGATAGAATTCTTTAATTGTAAATATCTCAAATGGTTTACAAACTTTACTTCTGTAGCTATTAGATGTCTCCAAAAAAGGTTTAAATATGTCATTTTTTAATAACTCTTCACAAGTCGGTCTATCTTTAGGGTAAATGTTTAAACACATATTTACTATTTCCTTAATATCATCCGGGATATCCTAAAAATACTTACTTAAAAATTTCAACAATATAATTTACTTATATCCCCTTACCATATATTTTTCATAGCAGTTGTGTTCTCTAGCAATCCTTTCAAATATACTATTATTACTTTTAAGGAAACTTAACACTTTTCTTATTCTTTGTGCCAATTTTAAATTATTCCACAACAATGTACCTAATAACAATTCCACCAATACAATACCTATTGACCAAACATCACATTTTGGATTAAGTAAATTTTGACACTTTGAATCCAGATACACTTCAGGAGCAGTGTATAATAATTGTCTGTAAAATAAATAAAAAAGTTATAGAATTTTACAATATTTGTTTATAAATTTCCATACATTTATACTAACATTAATATAATAATTTTATATACACGGTAAAAATTCAGTAGCTATAACGAGCTCATAATTATAATTTTTAAAATATTTCTTCTACCTTAATAGGAATTATTATTACTTCTAGTTCATTTAATAAAATATTATACAGAGTATAAAAACTACAAACAAACCTTAAATTACTAAACAACACGAGTACGTAATAAACCGAAAATTTACACATTGAAAAATGATTGTTATAGGAATATCTCAAATAAGGCATCTTAATTTTGCTACAAAAAATAATTCTTTATTTTTGAAACATTCTAATAAATTTGTTTTCCATCCTTTTATAAATGGTGAACCAGGATCAATTATTATTTTAAAATTTAAATGAATTTTTTATATACACTTTGTGCTTTTATTCGCTTATAAAAAAATGACCAGTTTTTGATTAATTGATTTGATTCATTCCAGTGAGGTTCTGGGAACATCTCAGCTGTTAATAAAAAAAATATATGGCGCATCTTTGATTTTAATTTTTTTTTAATATATAACAAGAATTCATGGTTCCTTGATAGGTACAATATTTGGTAAAGATTTAAATCATTTAAATATAAAAAAACATATGTTAAAATAATAAATAACATATTAACACATATTAAAATAATAAATAACAAAATATAAATAAATCGGTGAGATTAAGTACAAATCCAAAAGTTAAAATTTGGACAAATTATTTCATAAAATCAGTTTTATAGTTCAAAATGCATTTTTAAATTGATTTTAGAAAATGATTTTTCAAAATAAAAATTCTGGCCAATTCACCAATTCAAATATAAATATATTTATAAGTAAATACATACTTAGTTATCACAGTTCTACCTTATACATAAACAATTATTCATGACCAAGGTGGAAAATGTTTTAATGGTTCTTTATAATATCAAGGAAGTTCATTATACCATTTTAGAGCAGATTGTGTTATAATGTTTAACAGCTTTAGTTTTAGATCCACAGTGCTCATTCCAAAAGGATTATTAAATAAGAGTTTAACAATCTATTTTGAGTCAGTTGCAGAGTCTTTATGTCCCTAAAAAGCTGGAAAGTACATTAATTAATTCTTTCATTTTATAGTTTAGGCATTTCTTAGGTAAAAACTCATGTTTCCAATCTTATTTTTAAGGCTTTTGATGTGGTCACTAAAACTTATCAATTCAAAAAAGTTGGGGAAGAAAACTTATCAATAATTAATCCTAAATATTTTGCATTGTAGTTGCACTTGGATTCGTTAAGTTTAATATAATAATAATCTATATCTAATCTATATTGTATAGATATTACGATGCCAAATCCTTAAATAATGTTAAGGCTTTAAAAAATTTCTTTCATTCAAGATATTGGATGCATGTATCCAACATGTACCACACAATTGCAGGTATGGACGTGTATGAGCATATGTACAGTTACGGAAAGAAGTAATGTCCATTTGAATGCTCCATTGTAATTGTTCGGAGGCATTCGGAAATGGTCAACATCTGCCTCTTAGGGATTTATTTAAAAATATGTCTATATTTAGAATTTACTACCTGCTCGTATTGAATTAATTATTTTGGGTATTTTACATATTTAACAGTATTTTTATTAAATCGTTATTTTTTGATATATTTTTGTATAGTTTTATAAACATTTATTCTATGAAAAAACTTTTAATAAGAACTTTTTAGGCTATAATAATATATTATGTATCAAGTTTTATAAACGCCATTTTAGTTACGAGTTTAATTAAGCACGAGCGAAGCTTGCGAGCGAGTGTTTAATAAAAACGAGTGTCTAGAGAAGTTTATAAACGAGTTGCATACTATACTTTATCTACGACGAACACAAAACAGAATTTAAAGCCAATTTTATTTGTTAAAATTTTGACATCTGCCAACTGTCATACGAAATTAACCTCACTTTTTCCCAATTTATAATAAAGCTTACTTCAGCCCGTGACGTAAAATGTCGAAAAGCCACTGTTGTTAACTTCAGCTAGCCCGTCAATAAAACGCCATAAAGTGACAGCTCGTCAATGTAGGAGTAGATAAATAATATTATCAAGTTGTAGTTTTTTAAAACTTACTTTACATTTTTCAGAACTATCAATGATTCAATACACTATTTTAGAAGTAAAAACACATTTTATTATTTGTTGCACTTTTATGTGTTAAAATTAAAAACAAATATTAAAAAATTTTATATTTGTATTATAATATACTAGGATTTATCAAAAAATTTTTAATATAATTATAGTATAAAAGTTAACATACCTATAAAACTATAACATACATATAAAAACTATAAAACATATAAACATAAATAGCTATAAAATTATAAAATATATACTTATTATATAAATATATAAATATTATAAAACTATAAAATATATATTATATATTTCTTTATATTTATTTATTGCTCTTTTATTATATGTAGGTTAATGTGTAAAAAATTATAAAATATTTATTCTTTAAAGTTATAATAATATACGCCGGCGCCGTTAAAATTATCATCGGCGCACACGTCGCGTATTTAGGCATAATTAGAGGTATAGGTAAGTTAATACTTGCCGAAAGGGCTAATCCTCATCCGGCTTAATAAGAAAAGATTACAATACCTATAGATGTATAAAAAGAAAATAACTTAAATACAAAAAACTTAAATTATGTCATAAAAGTAGGTAATACATTTTACAGACCAAAGTTCTTCCGGACTAAAATGTTAAAAAGTATTTTAATATTTTAAACGTAGGACAAATTGTTATTATTATTATTTGATAAACAATATTATATAATTATTAGACTTATACCAAAAATGGTCCTGTTAAAATGTAAGCTCTTAATATTACATTTACAGGTCCCTCATCGGGAATTTTTATTTCCCATTAAAATAATATGAGATTTTTTAAAATACTTTAAAATTTTATAACTCGTAAACGGATTAGTAAAACTAAAACAAATTTTGGTAGGGCTCTTTTAAAAGGTATTCAAGGTAAAAGTTGAATTTATAGAAATTTTCAAGATTTTCAAACTTTTTCAGCAAAACAAAATTTATGGTAAAATTTAGTAGGACCCTTTTTTAGGAAAATATTATCTAAAACCATAAGCAGAGAAATCTGCCTTTTTATTTAAAAAGAAATGGTAAATAATTACATTAATAATTATAGTTGAAGCATGGCATTCCCAAAGGGTTTGGACCCAATTTGGTCAAATATTATATTATCATTTAAAAATAGTCTATGTGCCATCAGTGCCGGTTTAAGTTAGTTCGCCGCCCGGTTCTGGCAAAAACACAACGCCCAATGCTTTAAAATATTACTTTTTTAAAAAGATTTTTAAATTTTTAAGTCTTACTTTCTCACGTCATGTGGAAGATTAGGTTGGTTAGGCTGGTATCTAACAATAAACTTAGTATCCTATAAAATATAAAATAAGCCTTTATAAACAAATTATAAAAACTAATCAAAAGCACTAACTAAAAAATAAAACATTCTTTGGTTTATATAAACAATACTAAGTACTAAGAAAAACTAATCAAAAGTTATAAATAAATAAAACATTATTCTTCGGTTTAAATAAATATTGAGAAATCCTAATACTAATAATTAAAAGGTTGTTTTCAAGTCTTTATAGTAGCAAATTGTTTTATAACACTTAACATTTATTTCATCTAGCAGGTCTTGATAAATGGACAGAATTGCTAAGCAGTTAAATCTTTCTTGGGCAATTGTATTTCTTAGGTGGTTCTTTACCCTTTTTAGAGCAGAAAAAGATCGTTCACCACTTGCATTTGAAACCATTATAAAAAAAATTCGCAGACAATTATTAATATTCGGAAATGAAGATATTAATTATTAATTATTATTAATTTATTTTCGTATAAAACTTATACTAATTCCAATGGAGTTTATATTTTTATTTTCGAAAAGGAAGTTACCAGTTTCTTGAGTTGGACACATTTTTGAGGAAAAAACTCATCCAAATCATCCACGAAGATTTATGCTTTTAGATTAAACAAAAATTCAAATTTGTTTGTGCCAGATTTCTAGCTATCATATCGACAAATGATTTCAAATTATAGATTGTCAAATATTAAAATAAAACATATTGTTCGCATTGTTTCTTTTTTGCTTAAACTCGCCTCTGAATTATTTTCTTCAAATTTTAATTTTCTTATGATTATTCATAACCCTTTGCAAAACGTCTATCCAAAAAGTTCAAATTATTCCGTTTCCAATAAATCAAGTTTTTCTGATGGAGAAGCTGCTTTAACTCTAACAACATTTTTCTCATTTGTCTCCGTTGTATCCGCCGACGCAGTGTCGCAATAATTTTTTTTCTAAATTCTAACGATTAAGTTTTTTTTTAAATTATGGGCGGTACGCGGTACCGCCCCAAAAATATTTACCGCCCGGTGCAATAGTCCCCAAAAAACCCCTGTTAAACCGGCACTGTGTGCCATGCAAAACGACAAAAAAAAATATTTTCCATATTATTTTTGTATTTTAAAGATGTATGGATTTTCATTGATTTCACACAATTTTATTTTTGACACTTAGACCCTTTAGGAATACCAAGTTCAATTATTGTAATAATTATAAATTTTTGCCGTTTCCATATTTTATTGGATTTTTATACATTGAAATAAGTTGGTATTGGGCAGATATTTCATAAAACAAGTAATAAAAACTAAAATGTTGATAATAGTATATTATTATACGAGAGATAATGCATTCAAAAGGATAAGGTTTGCATGTCGAGCCCTCAGGCGAGAGACGTAATTCATCCGAGTAAATGCATTATTTCGAGTGTATACTATGTTTGTTCTACTCCAATTAAGAAATTTTTATTGATAACAAAATTAATTTATTATAACCTCACTTTTCTCCTATTTTAAAGATCATTATAGTCGCCCCTCGTATAT